TTTTACAGAGAGCCAATCGTACTGTACGATAATTAATTTCGTCTGGACGAAAATTTTACAGAGAGAAAATCGTACTGTACGATAATTAATTTCGTCTGGACGAATAGGACTTAGAAAATTTTTCGAGCAAATTTCTATTCGTTCCATATGCTCTATAGGAGATAACTGTCTGATCGTCCAGTACGAACTAAAATCGTCCTGTACGATCAACACAAATTTAATATGATCTCCTTATTTGTGTGTGCATATTTTGATTCACTCAAGTTACAATCACTCCCTTTCAATTTGATTTCTAAGCAAAGTGCAAGCTTCAAAAATTTCAAGGTATCTCATGCTGATTTTAATTTGAAGCCTTGTAGTCTGGAGTTCTTTCCCTGAAATGTTAGTACACACAAGAGCAAATACAATTCTTCCAAAATTGTTAGGAGATAACTACACATTTGAACAATAATGTTTGAATCATCAAAACTTTATAAGTTGCCAAAAATGTAATGCATGCAAATAGAAACTATCTTAACAGCCCCACTAGGCAATGATTGCCCACAATATTGGGGACCAATCCCACTACGCCGCGTGTCCCTCCGCCATCGCCGCTGCCTTTTTATATTTAATATTAGTTTTAAACTAATTTTAAACCTTATTTTTCTTCGAAAAATCATTATAAATTAATTATAAATCTAAAAATTATGTGTAATATATCAATTTTTTTAGAATTTAATTTCCTTTAATTTAAAATTAAAATTATTTTAAACTAAAATATATATCAAACACTTCAAGCTATCAAACATGACCTACATCCACTCCCTAAAGATCCCTCTTCAGGTATTTCCCTATTACCATAGTGACACTCCTTTTGCTCCTACTGCAAGGTGGAGAAGCCTTTACAATTCCTATCTTCTACCAATTCTGGGTGTGGTAGAGAACCGTCATCCTTTCACACCCTCCAAGTGTTGGTAGAGAATCGTCATCCTTTTACACCCTCTAGGTGTCGACAAAGAACCGTCATC